ATTACGGAATTCTAAAATTAAATACTCAAAAAATAATTAATTGATAATTAATTATTATTTAAATAATGTGATTATTTAAATTTGAATTTGAATTGTGAACATAATTTAAATTTATCCTTTTAAACTTATTTGATAAGTTGTTCAATTTAGAATTCAAATTAATTTAAGTTTGACTTAAATTCGAATTTGAATTTGAATTAAAATTGGACTACAGGATAAAGGATGTTTTCTCTTCCTTCCCTATCCAGAATTGGCGCCACACACAAGGGAGAAAAACCCTAGGGTGGCCGGCCACATTAGAGATAAGGTGTAGGAGATTTTTTGTTCCAAATTCAAAATAGAAGATAGAGATTTGATTCCTTTTTGAAGTTTGACTTCTACTCTTTAAATATGAGAATGATAAAAAATTCTGCACACAATTTTTAAAAACAGTTTTTCTGCCCTAAGAGTTAGTGTGGCCGAATTTTCTCAAAGGAAAAAGAGAAGAAAATTTTTTCTCCTAAAAATTTCACATCGTGCATGCGTTGGTGTTTGTGGAAATTCGAGTGTTTTTGGAAACCTGTTTTGTTCCACGTGTGCCCACACACACGTCTACGTGGAATCAAGGAATTAACGTGGAAGACTTTGATTTTCTAAACACAAAGATTGGAGCAAGTACTGTTCGTGGTCAAAGAACTCAAGTTATCATCCGAGTCGGCTTCCAGGTATTTTTTCCTGATTGAGTAATGTGATTAATTTATTTGTGCATAAATTAATATAATCTATAGAGTATATCAAAAGTTTTCTGAAATTTTTGTTATACACGATCCGCCTCCCCGCCACGCTTCCGCATCCGAATTCGATTCGGTTACCAACAATGTGTACAACTGGAATCTCCATATCCTCTCTCTCTCTTATGAAAAGAAAGAGTTAGGAGAGTTCTTTTCCCGTCTTACTAGGCGTTTCCTTACGAGATGGGTTAATTTTCATGCATGTTTCTCACTAATATATTGTACATATTGGAAAATAAATTTTATTTTTTAAGAGATTAAAATTATGTTTAGTCTATGTTCCATCTAAGATGGCACATTTAGAACTCTATTGTCATTAGTTACATTGCAAGCATGTTCTAATTCTGGTTTTGTGTTTAGATTTATGCCACAGCAAGAAAGCTTAATTCTTATAGCTTAATACAAATAGATAGATATAATAAAAGTTCATCATTAACATCAACAAGAAAGCATGTTGTTTGTGATTTTTTAACTTTTAGCTTAATTCTTATAGATGTCTTCATCAGAAAAGCAAAAAGAGATAGAGTCTCAGTCTAGTAAAAAAGAAACCGAAACTACTGAAACACAAGAGACAACTGAGGAAGAAAGGAAATGTACTAAGAAAAGAAAGAAAGCCCGACAAGTAAGCCCGGTTTGGCAGCATTTCACGAGGGACGAAAAAACCAAGAGGGCTACTTGCAAGCATTGTGGTGTCACTTATGCCGCTGATTTGAAAAAGAATGGCACATCTACAATGAAAAGTGATATAGAAAGCTGCTTGATGAATCCAGAGAGTGAAAACAAACAAAAGACCATCCACTTTAGTAGAAAGATCGGAGCACATGAGGAGGACACTGCTACTAGTACTATGACACTAAGAGCTTGGTCCAAGGAGGGTTATAAGAGAGCCGTTTCGGAGTATATCGGATTGGATGAGTTACCGTTCTGACACGTGGAAGGTAAAGGGTTTAAGCGCTATTCAGCATACTTGAATCCTAGAGTGTTTGACATTTCAAGGATAAAAATTGCGAGGGATGTTTATCAAATGTTTTTAGAGGAGAAGAAGAAGTTGAAAAAGGTTTTAGGAAAGCAACGGGTGTGTTTGACGACTGATACTTGGACATCAATTCAGAACATCAATTACATGTGTTTGATCGCACGTTGGATCGATGAAGATTGGAATATGCAGAAAAGGATCATTAATTTCATCCAAGTTCCGAATCATAAAAGAGAAACAGTTGCACAGGAGATTTTGGTTTGCCTTAATGATTGGGGCATAACTGCATTGTTCACAGTTACAGTGGACAATGTATCGTCCAATGATGTGGCTATGGACAGGTTGAAGAGAAAAGTCAAAGATATTCTTAATTTTCTCGTCTTAGATGGCCAGGCGATACATATGCGGTGTGTCTGTCACATTCTAAACTTGATTGTTAATGATGGGCTCACGGACTTAGCATATTCTATTGCAAGCATCCGCAATGCAGTTAGGTATGTGAGGTCCTCACCTCAACGCCTTAAGAAGTTTAAGGAGTGCATGAAGGAAGAAAACATCAACTCAACTGCCCTATTGTGTTTGGATGTGAAGACGAGGTGGAGCTCTACCTACCTAATGTTGGAGACTTCTTTTAAGTTTGTCCCCATTTTTGAGAGGTTGCTTTTGGATCAAAACTATTGTGCTTACTTTGATGAAGTTATAAAAGATAAAAAGATGAAGGGTCCACCAAATGAGACAGATTGGGACAATGCAAGGGTTTTTCTGAGGTTCTTAGGAAAGTTTTACACTTTGATGAAGAAGTTTAATCGTTCATATTATGTCACTTCAAACTTCTATTTTAAAGATATTTGTGCTGTCAAACGAGAGTTGATTAAGTTAGAGGAGTGTGATGATCCTCTGTTGAATGAAATGGCAACAATGATGAATAAGAAATTTGATAAGTATTGGGGAAATGTCGAGAAAATGAATCACATGATGTTTCTTGGCTTGGTTCTTGATCCAAGATATAAGTTGGATTATCTTGCTCTTGCCTTCAAGTGTATCTACTATGATTCGATATCTGACACGATGTTAAAAGGGGTTGAGGACACATTGTGTAGATTGTATAAGGAATATCATGATCGGGCTCCTCCTCCACCTTTGGCTCCCAAC